TCTGGTTTAATCCGAATGTGTAGCCGGTGGAACGCTACATAGCTACAACAATGCTGAAGGTTTTAAATCAATGGAGATACTCTCGTTTGAAAAAGGAAACAAATCATGAACGATTACTCTAAATCATGTGTACAAAAAGAAAATGCAAATACACAATTTTTGAACCGGGATTGCTTTGTTGCCATTACACTGCAAAAGCCTTTCTTTACCCTTAATATCCACTATATCAACATTGATAAAGCTGCATTCGTGTTCAATCTGGAAAAAAAATTTAATAATGTTTATATTTTAGAATAATGATTCGGATGTGCTAAGTACACCGAAATAGTAGTAAGGGTTTGCAATTGACATACATTTATCTTGTGTGAAAACCCCGGCTAATATATCGGCATAGTACACCTTGTACATCTAAACCATACCGCTAAGATAATAATTATATGCTGTCAATATTATAAAACTAAATATCAAACCTGTTGACGTTAAAACTAACTGAATTATTACTTAAACATCGATCTTTACCCAATTATTGTACCATATAAAAGCATTATAAAACATTATTCGAAGTATCATTTTATATAACGTTGATTATGTCGATATATAATACTTATGCTTTTATACTTCAGTTATAATATACACCTATTTACTGGCTATGAAAGCAATAGCAAGTTTATCGTTCCTCTCGACAGTGCTCAACTTTTTCCCAAGACGCAGCCGAGGTAAATGGTTGCTCTCGAGAGGCACGATAAACCTGCTAATGTCCGAATACCATTAGTCAGTTAATAAGTGTTTTATTATACCGAAACGACTTTTCTTGTGTAACGTCAAAATCTGGTTAAAACCTGAAGAGTACTGAGCTGAAAAAAGAGGAAAACTGAATGCTGCCGGTGAAGAATTTTTAACGACTATTTCACCATGGGCAAATAACACAAAAACTATTTAACACTAGGGTATGAGGCGCAGTTTTTATATGTGAAAAATTGCCATCACTTTTTAAAATAGGTGATATGACCTATTCAAATAAGTGATATCACCTATTCAGATTTGAAAAGGTGATATCACCTTTTTAAATATTTGATATCACCTACTAGTACTTGAATAAGTGATAGCAACTATTCAAATAGTTGATATCACCTATTTGATTTGAATTGGTGATTTAACCTATTCGAAAAGGTGATGTCACTTATTCAAATAGATGATATCATCTATTCCTTTTGAATAGGTGATATCACTTATTCGAATAAGTGATATCAACTATTAAATTAAAAAGGTGATATCACTTATTCGAATAGGGGCGACATCGAGAACTGTCTAATTGTCCTGTCTGGAAGTAGCCTAGCTATCTCGTCGTTGAACTGGTTCCAATTTACAGGGAAAGCATCCAGCCACTTATATAAAACGGATTCCTACCATTTATCATAATGAGGGGGGTGTACTCCTGGAGTTCAGGGTAAAACCGTTTAGATCTCAAACACGGATTCTTCAGCATTTATCATAACCGGATCGATCTCATTTTGGAATCCAGGCTTAAAGCCTAGACCTCAAACACCGAAGTTTGAGGATGACAGAGGTCAGAATGACATATGGCCGATGATGCATTTTTGTTTATAAGCCGGGATCTTTTGCTTTGTTTGTGAAAGGATACATCAAACGGAACAATTCTTGCAATCCATGATATTGTCGAAATGATCAGTGTCAAATAAAATGATGCGAAATGACTTTTGGCAATGAAAATTCCATCTCCAATTAAATTAGAAGGACCTTTAATTTCCATTCTGACCTGAGCGGCTCGCATTGGGAATGGAGATGTTACCCAACCTGTATAAAATGCAACCAAGGCAGTCAATTCAGCTTTCCATTGTTTATCAAATAAAAAATCCTATCTTTTAAATATCTATATTTACAATACATAATATCACACACTATACCAAACATTCTAATACTAGTATTACTGCTTATAATATAAACTACTTTAACCTGTTATTAAAATAACTAATGTGAAAATAAAATACTTTCACAGTAACCGTGCAAGTCTACAAAATAATTTAAAATACAACTAAGACAGTCACAATTCAGCTTTCCACTGAAATAGTGTCTTTCTCGGTCGGTCGCCTGTTTTATGCCTGAAGCTGTACATCCCCATATTTGTTATTCCTTCAAATTCTGAAATACTTACTTAAAATTACTTTGATTTTTAATTACTTTATCTTGTCCTCCAAGACTCTTTAATTTCCAATGAACTTTAAAAGTCATATCAGAATATTGCGTAATCTTTAAATATTACTTGTTGTAGCTAATTTATACCAACAACTGACCTCTGGTCATTTAAATTCTATTGGTCGCTTCTTTGTCCTAACCAAATACATCTTTCGATAAACAACTAAACAACCGCATTCAAACAAATCATTTTCTTGGAACCGTTACGGTGAAAAGGCCAACCCTAGTGGTCAGCATATTTGTTTATTTTTATCTTCAGAGCTTGCATCTGTTACCTCTCTCTGTGCTTAATAGTGCCAAAACACCAAAAAAAAAAACATGGTATGTAACATTTTTGTTGTTAATGCAATTTTTGTTATGATCTTTATATCGTGCTGGCAATACTTTTTTTAACTCTTCTAAATACCGTAAGTAATGATTGAATTTCATGTTTTATCGATATTTACAATACCGGTATTTGTACAATTGAGTTTCAGGTATATGTTTTCTAGAATATAAAATATTAAAAGTCTTTCTTATATAGAATGAAATATAAATGTGCAGTTTCATCATTTACACAACTGCACAACTGACCGATGACAGAGGATTGATAACGAGCGAAGATTAATCCGCATGTTTTGTTTGTTGACTTACATATCGCACAGAACAAACTGTATAAAAAAAGTTGTGATGAATGAATCATAATCTGCACTCGAAGGAGCACAATTGAAGTGGTTCAAACAATATAATCAAAAGACCAAGAGAGTGTCGTTGCTCAAAAAGTATACAAAATCATATCGTGTGAAGAAACAGAAGTATACCTCGGTCAATTGATTGAACGTTGATAATTTGTGAACACACAGATTGAAATGAAATGTGCTGGACTTGAACAGTTGAAAAATAAGGTCAATTTATAAGACATTAAGTGAGTGTTCCAAATCTCTACAGATAAGAAATCAATCGAAATTAAAATGGCGGAAAAAGAATATCCAGATTCTCCTTTAGTGAAAAATAAACACTATGAGAAAAACAACAAAGATTCCATCGTAGTACACGAAAAGGTGCTATCGTCTGATACCGATCGCGGATGGTCCTTTGTGGTTCTCGCAGCTTCCTTCTCCAGTATGTTTGTTGCAGCAATTCTTACCTATAGTACTGGAGTCATACATGTTGGTTTACTGGAGAAATTTCAAAAGGATGCAGCTTTCACGTCTTTGATAGGATCTGTGTTCTTAAGTTTACTATCACTCATGGGTATGTAGTCTATTATATGCCATTTAAAAAAAAATGATCAGGAATTCAAAGATCAATCTTGACAATCAGGAATGATATAAATTATTAGAACGATATTTTCATCAATGTTATACAATTTTCAATTTCAATTTTTAAATAAAAATTTATATTTAATGAACAGAGAATAATTTCCTGTACAAAGAATGCCTTTTTTACATTTTGAGAAGAATCATGAGAAAGTTGACGATATTTTGTTTGATTACAGGACCGGCTGTAAGCTTTGTTGTTAACAGGTGGAGTTGTAGAGTCGGTACAATACTTGGAGGTCTCCTTGTTTTCATTGGCATCTCTTCTAGCTTCTTCGTCGAGAGGCTTTCGGTCCTTCTTGTGACTTACGGTGTCATAGCAGGTGAATGTTGTTATATAATAAACAGTAATATAAAACTAAGAGGTGTTGAGAAAGCTCATTCCACATTTTTCTTTTATAATCGAAAAGAAATACGATGAGAAGATACAATTTACAGTTTGTGATATTTCATTTTTACAGAGTCTATTCATGCCACTGATAAGGTTTTAACTGCATTTTGTTGATTGTTGATTGTCGATCAATTAGAGGAGGACAGGTATAAAAACAGATGATGTCTGTGCAGAAAAATTAGAGATGGTGCATATTTGTGACATACATTAAGCACACAGGTCAAAAAATCCTTTCAAATACTATGCCGGTGAAAAATTTCAAAATGACAAATCTATTCTTTTGAAAAGTGATCTATCGTTCTAATACCTACGCTCAACAGCTTGTCTGATTCAAGATAAGCTACGAAAAAACAAAAGTAAATTATCTTTTATTTTCACTCAAAAGGACCAGCATTTCTATCATTTGGCTACATGTTACATATATTTTCATATGGAAGAAAATTTCTATAACTTCCTGCTAGAAATGAATTGCTATAAATCTAAATCGCAGCCGTGTGATTTTGTCATACTTGAAAATTCATCTCTTTATTTAAGCACTACTTTGAAATTTTTGAAAATATTTCATCATGGAACGAACTTTCTTAACACCCCTTAGATATATAAGTTGTTATGATTTAGAAATTTATCAAGATAAATCATTATCATACCACATACAGTCTATTTGTATCCTCCTTAAGTTTTAAAGCATTGACGATGGCATTGCAGATTATGATGTCAAGAGTTCAAGTGACCTGTACTACATAAAAGTTTGAACAGCTATAGCCTTTATCGCGAAGTACACAGATGGGTTCAAAGCGATTTGTGAATTTATGTTGTCCCCAATTTAAGAGTAAATGTAACATGTAAGGAAATTTTGAATTTCACGAAAATAAACTTAATTTACAATGGTTTAAATTTTTAAAGGTACACTTTTTCGTTCTTTTTCTCTATACCACTGTCCAGTTCGTGAAAAGAATAGATGTATTTGAAGAAATAAGAAAATTAGAAAAGTACTAAAAGAAATTACATCGTCATGATGTATGTTGGGCGCGCTTGATTTGTCTACACCTTATTACACTAGGTGTAGACGATTTACACCTTATAATCAAGTTAAATTGGGTGAAGTGTAGCAAATTCAACATGGACCTCAAAATTTCAACCAACTGAGGGGATCCTATTTGCAGAAGATTTTTAAAAATATTTGTTGCGATTATGTGCAATTTTTAAAATCCATTTAATTTAACAAAACATTTTATGAAAAGGCTAAGAATATTTTATAAAACATTTTTCCTAGCTACCAATAATTACCCCTGTAACTAAATATCTAGACATAGTCAACAATATTATAGACTTTATCACAAAAACTTGCCAAACTGGCTTATTTTTTATTTTACAAATTATGACGTTCGTCATTTTCCATAAAATGCACAAAAAGGCGGTCCTCTTAATTATTAAAAACAATTCATCATAATCAACTTAACAAATACTTGACAGTAAACTCAAATACAGAAATAGAAATTCTGCAATTTTACCATCTCGGCATTTGTCAGCCATATTGAATTTTCGGTGCAATTCCCTACATGCCCTGCACAGGGTGTAGATGGTTTACACCTAATTAAAAGTGTACAATTTTGCACTTGATTATGGAAAAGTGTTCACCGGGTGTAAGGTGTAGACAAATCAAGCGCGCCCGTTATTTACCTTGTATTGCTTGACAGTTTTAAAGGTGGAGGATCAAAAAAATTGTGATACATCTGTAAGGATCCTGACAGTAGAAAGAAGTTGAATTGATTCTTTTTTTTACACATTAACATAACACTGACATTTCCTGATTATACATTTCAGGGTCTGGTATGTGCTTCATTATTATATCACCAGTAATTGTGATAGGATATGCATTTGAAAAATACCGCGGGATGGCTGTTGGATTCACTGTAATGGGAGCTGGCTTTGGAATGTTTGTGAGTGGACCTTTAACACAATTTCTGTTGGATACTTTTGGTCTCCATGGAGCGTTTTTAATCCTAGGGGGTATTGGACTACAGTGTGTATTTCTCGGCTCGTTAATGAAACCTTCTCAGCTTGAAAGGAGACATAAAATTGAAATACGTCGAGCCAAGTTTACAAAACATGAAGAAACAGAACAGAATAGCAGGTGTAAAGTAAATTGTGAACTTCTCCATAATAAGACATTTATTTTGATCGTCCTGAGTGCGTTTTTATGGAATGCTGCTTATTCCATTATTAGTGTTAATCTTAGTAATTATGCGTATGCGAAGGGGACAACAAAACAAGAGGCTGCCTTTCTGTGGACAATGGTCGGCATTGGCAGTACCGTAAATCGTTTCCTAGCTGGGTTAACATTAGGACCTAATGGCATCGATCCATTGCTGTTAGATTTCGGATTTTTAGGCATTATTGGTATCCTGACTCTGACTTTTCCATTGTATGCTAATCATTTTAGTGGCCAGTGTATATTCTCACTAATTTATGGAATCTATAGTGGAGGTCTTGTTGTGTTAATCAACCCTCTGTGTTTGGAGTTGGTTGGTTTACAACAGTTACCACTGGCAGTAGGGTTTACGTATTTTTCTGGGGGCGTTGGATCAATCATTGGACCTCCACTTACAGGTATTTATTTTTATTTCAGCGTTTTTATTCTTAATATGTTCTTGGAATATTTGCATACAGGGGTTAATTATGATATAATTCATTTATTCTCAAATATTTTTGAAATTAGAAAGAGGTGAATATATCAAACAGACATACATGTTTCAATGCCACTTTCTACCTAGGATTGTTGGTTGATGCCATGGGTGACTACTCCTTTGCATTTTACCAGACAGGTAAGTTGACCTATCGATTTTAGGTCAAAAGATCATAGCTCCAGTTCAGGTATGGCTCCCAGATGATAACACGTTCTCATTGAGCCTTTTTAATTATATTTTTTATAATAACTCATAGTGATACTGAAAAAAACTACTTAGATCGATTTAGAGGTTAAAAGGTTAAAGGTCAAGACCATGAATTCCTTAGGCTTCAAAAGACCCATGATGAATTTGAGTCTTTAAGTCAGGGTGTACCTTTTTTCTTTCTCTATCTGTATTTTCTTTCAGAATCTTTCACAATTGCCTTTATTTCTGAAATTGGGAGCACAGTTTACCTGGATTATCTTGTTTATATTTCTGATAAATTGAGTTTTTCCTATCATTTTCGTCTGTTTTGTTTTTGTAGGAGGACTGTTTTTACTTGGAGCTCTGTTAGTACTATTATCATCGCTCTGGAGGAGCGAAAATGAATTTTTGACAGCAATGCCTTTAGTCAGTCTCAACAGTGCAAGAATTCTGTCGGGATCGGCCTTCATTTCCGGGTCACTGTCATTGATCGTTGACCCTTTGAGCCTTGCACGTGCAGATTCTGATTCAATTAATAGCCATCAATCGTTTGGGAAACGGAGAACTTTAGAAATCAGTAATGACAATGTCGCCAAACTTTTACTTGAGAGAAAATACCGAGGGAGAATTAGAACTGTCAGTGAAACGGATGCTCACCTTTCAAATAAGAACCGGAACAGCCCAATCGTATTGAACAAACGTACGGTTAGTGTTGATCTGGGTGGTGATAAATTGAAGGAAAGAGTATGTTTAAGAGAAAATGGCAGTGTTGTTTGATCTGTTTTCATATACATGTAAACATAAAGCTGTTCATTTTCTTTAAAAGAAAGCACTGTATTCTTAAGGTATACCTTTACCATGCGAAATCTCGCCCGGTTTTCCACAGCGATGGAGTCAATAAAAGTGTAATTGATGCAAATCACCCATATTCCCAAAACACTGGCAAGACAATTTACGACAGCAGACTTCTGGGGGAGGATCCTAGAATTTTAGCTTTCTTAGTTAAAGAAAAAAAATAAAGTCTACCCCAGAAAGTAGTCCTCTCTGCCCTAAAGTGTTCCTGTCAAAAATCTTTATTGTTTACAAAGTTGGACTGAATAAAAATCAAAAGAAAATATTCCCTTTAAAATTAAAATGTTTACATAGCCAATCGGGTAACGTCTACCCATTCAGTACTCGTCTTCATCTTGTTAACCAGGAAATGATGTAAACTTCCGGGAATTTGGTACCCTTTTATCTATATTTCAACGCGGTACTTCCACAACTACCCGATGTCGATTTGTACTAAGATAAAAATATTTTGAAATTGAATTACGTAAAAAATTGAAAGGCAGCTTATTCTATTGAAGAATTACTTTACTATAACTAATTTCCTTTCCCTTTTTTTTGACCCCCTCCCCCCCCAAAAAAAAAGACCGGGGGGGGGGGGGCAAAAGCTTCTTATTAATTAGTATTCTACCTAAAATTTAAACCCAGTAAATTTTAAGATCCTTCCCTCAAACCTGCTGATATTAATTGCCTGGCGCACATCTCATTGGGGAAGAATCACAGATTAACGTTAATTTGGCTTTTATTGAGTTCGCTATACTTAGAGAATGCTAAGGTTTTCTTGGCATGCTCAGGATGACCAAAAATTCATCTGATAAGAACGAAAAACCACCTATTGCACATTGTACACCTATGATTCTTGTGTTAAATTTCAATTTCAAATAACTAGGTCAATGACCTACTTTTCATGCTAGTGACCCCTGAGTATTTCTCGGGAAACACCTCAATTTTTCACACTATGACCAATTTTTTCTATACACACAAAATATTACAAGCAACTAGACTCTTTAAATAATGAAATATTATAGCAATGAAACAGCGTTGCTTCATATAAAGAAAGTATTGAAGTTTGGGCCAAAAATGTGATAATTATTACAGTCCGAATTATCTCTGTCATATTTATATTTTTCCCCATTTTTAATCGAATATTACAAAAAACTGACTGATAAGAACTCTAAACTATTGATAGCCTCAGATTACTTTTGTTGCCCTTGATAATTATTACAGTCCGAATTTCCTCTGTCATATTTATATTCTTTCCCCATTTTTAATCGAATATTACAAAAAACTGACTGATAAGAACTCTAAACTATTGATAGCCTCAGATTACTTTTGTTGCCCTTATTCTTCTTATTCTTTTGGCATCCATATTATATGGGTTCAATGATCAAATTATTGAGATACGTTGTCTCGAATGGTTTTTGTACATATTTTTGAATTTCTTTATTTCACGGCATTCAATTATTTTAAATAATTTATAAGTTTTAGCACATGTAATATTTGTGAAATGATGTCTAAAAATACGTATAATCTGAACTTTGTGATTAATATTGCAAGAAATTAAAAGAATTGACAAAAATGGAAAATTAAAAATTTAGTCCGAATTTCCTCTGCATTACCATACATTGACTTTTGTTCCTCAAATAATAAAATATTAAATTTTCAAATTAATTTTGATTAAAAACTTGCTTATTTTATCCATTTAGAACAATTTTTGATTTAAAATATTATACTTTATAAAATTCCCTTTCTGTTTTCTGAAACCTGAGTAAACGTCATCCTTAAATGAGCACATTTTTTTATACCAGTACAGTGGACCTTTAGATATACGGACGCTTCAGTATGCGCACGATTTTTCATCGGAACGGAAATTTTTAACATTATTTTGTCTTGTTTAACTGGTTTTTCAGATATCTGGATGCCTTATATATTCGGACAAATTGACTAGGAACCAAAGCGTCCGGATAAATGAGGTTCCATTGTATCTGTGTTTTTTTTAATTTCATATTATATGATTGAATGCAAGCAATCCGTCTATTGCTCATGTGAACATTTAATGTCCTCTTTTCGTCATATTTATCTTACTAGGAATAATTATTGTAAACTGATAAACAAAAGAAATTCGTTATTAGTTGAACATGAAAAGACCTAAGTGCGAATGATATAATATCAATGTTTATACAGGTAATTATATAAAACGTTACTTCCATATCAACCTGATACATAAAAAAGACTAACTGAATATCAAATTTTAACAGTGTATATAATTGACTCACAAACCTTTAGTCATTTTTATTACTTCAGTTCAAGGACAGTGAACTCCGCATTTATGACAAAGTCTTTCACATGACTTACAAGTGGTTAAAAGTGCTAGATATTTCACCTTAACAGCTAACTAAAGAAAAGTAAAGATTAGGAAAAGTAATCATGCCTAAAGGTTACACTAGACAATATAATTTGCGAGAAGAGCAAGCATAATCCACTGAAATCAACAGAGATCAAAACTATTGCCATGGAGGAATAAGCGTTCTCTGTCGACTGGTGCCGTGTTCTCTTCATAATCAGAAAAAACGCAGAAATCCTATACGAATACACGTCTGTATATTGGCCTCACAACTGAATAAAACAATCCAGTCAACAATCGACATATAAATTAAATTTTGTATAGGCAAAAAACAAGGCAATTGTATCGAACATACGTAGAAACGTTGAAATGTTGAAAGACGAGATTGTAGATACCCTGATATCATCAACTACTTTGTATGATTTAAAATATATAGTCTAGCAAGTGACATGGTGAGAGATTTTGAACGTTTCAGTTCTTATGCACAAAAAAGTAACTCACAAGAGGAAACTGATAAAATAATGTATTTAAAAATGCAAATATTATTACTTATCAATTATAGGGAAATAAAAACATAAAAGCATTTGATAAGATTTTTAAAAAAAAATTATTTGAAAGAAAAAAATGGTATACATTGATTTCATGCTAATACACCTGTGAATAAGTATATACTGATAAAATTCAGTATTAAAACAGCTCCTATTCACTGTACATTTTATGGGGATGTACTTTAAATGAATAAATGCTGATAAAATTCAGTTTTGAAAAGCTTCCACTCCACTGAACACTTCAGTAACCTGGGGTTGATTAAGAACTTGTATCGAGCTCCAGTTCGCTTTCTGTAATTTCCTTTGTAACATTGTAAATATCAGAATGTTTTCCCCCATTTAATAATGGTGTCCTCTCATTTTCCATAAAGATGTTCGGAAATTCTTCCTTGTTTAGTTTTTCTTCTTCCTCTTCCGTTGATGAAATTTTTATCTGTAGAACCCTGTGTACTTGTGGACAGAAGATGTAAACGAGTAATAACAGGAAGCTACTCAGTATTTTTGTAACGGTGACCAAAATCATCACAGGGGTATAGGAATCCTGGACCTCGAATAATGAACCTTCAGAAAGTAAACAGATAGGTTATTATTGTATTAGCACATGGAAATTTTGATTTATAATAATGATTTTCATAATTTGGAAATATATTTTCTGGAAAAAGATTTAGTCAAACGAAGACCGATGCATAGGTCTGTGTCCTATTCTTATAATAATAATATATAAGGCTTTATTGATCTGTAAAAAAGAGCAATAATAAAGAATATCATATAATGTTTTTATCTATTCCTACACCATTAATCGAAACCTATATAGAGAATGTGGCATAATGAATCTTAATGTAGTATTTTGTGTTGTAAGTTTTATTGAAATCAGATTCAAACTGTAAAAATAAATGCAGTTTTTAGAATGTCAAAGATTATTCAATTGTAGAAACCACTTTCATAATCATCATTCCCCAAGATTTAAAACCATTTTATGAAGTTTATATTTCTCCTGAAGTGATACATTTATTTACGAAGTGTAATAGAATTTTTTTCTTACTAAAAGTTAGTAAACATCAAGAGAAAATACATAAAATTAATCCAGAAAATTTTAACATTTAACTTATGGATTAATGGTAAAAGAGTTAAAAAGAACTCAAAAAATTCATAGAAAATTTCTCAGGATGCTATATTTTTGCAGATGTCGTCTTGTTTTGAAATTAAAAAATAGAAAAATACATGTTTATTTACACGTAAATCACATTGTATATCAAGTGCATTTTTTTTTCCATAAAGAAAAAATTAAAACCAGTGAAGTGCAGTTTTATCAGAGATTTTCTTTTATGTTATTATGAATTTATATCAATTACGGCCACTACATCAAGAGATAAAAAGGTTTGGGGTCTTCTTTTTTACCGTTTGGTATATTACTAATAATATGTATAAAATGAATTTTAGCAAAATCAAGAACATATGTTTTCTCCCCTTTCAGCTGGATCAAATTACTTTTTTTCTGTACAGTTAACAGAGACGATTAAAAAGTAAAAACAGTTAATATATAAATGTTTGTAATGCTTTTATAATCTAAAAAGTTCATTACCTGCCAATGGAGCGCCGAGAAGATTCCCTACTCCAAAGAAAGCTAAATTCATTCCAAGAGTTAACTCCAAATTTTCATGTCCATAATACGTTTCCAAAATTCCTACAACAATAGCCCCACCTGTTGCTGCTGTACTCGCGCCAAAAACAGCTGAATAGATTACCAGCACATAATACTCATCTGAAAACAGCAGAGAAATGGTAGAGACGCCTCCCAAAAGGTAAAAAATCATGCCTAGCTTGATCGGCAATGACGTTGACACTTTGGCATCCAATGCAGCACCTTGTAGTAACTTGAGAAGCATTACCGAGATTCCAATAATGGAGTAGAGATATGCTCCTTTGTCGTTGGAGAATCCCAATGTCTCAGCATATTCGCCAAGGTGGCCATAGATAACCGAATCTCCAAACCCGGCCAGGAAGATTCCAAGATGAGTGACATAAAACCCTGGATTCTTCAGAAAATGCCATGATGCGGCAAGTTTTTCACACTTTTCGGTATTCTTGGAAGATACTGGTCGAAAGATTAATCCAATTGTACAAAACTGAAGAGCAACTCCAGCAAGAACAAGGAACAAACCCTTTGAACCATATGCAGAGTCTAGCTGTTGAATAATTGGAGAGAACACGAATGTCCCGACCCCTGTGCCACATGAAGCTACGGCTACAGCTATTTTCTGCCGGGGATGACCAAGAAAATAGACGGGAACAGCAACAGTAGCCACCATGTATGCCATTCCACACCCAAAACCTGAAGGAGGAAAATGGAGACAGATTGAGTCGTTTTATGTATATATTCAATTTAATATTGCGGTAAGTTTTAATAAAATATTTAGGCTTCTTAAAAGAAGATAAATGATGATCTTAACACACACAAGTATCTCTCTCAATCTTTTAAAATATTATTCATTTTACAAGGTTATCTACTTTCTAAGTTATGAGAAAATTACCTGTAACAAAACCATACGATAAGATTAGAAATGTGAGCTGTGTCGATAATGAGCTAAGAAAAAGTCCAACTCCTGCAATCAGGCCTCCGCTGATTGCAATGATCCGCCACCCAAAGGATTTCAGCAGCCGTCCGAGTGGAAGACCTGGTGTTAACACGAGAAAAAAGATTTTCCATCAATGTAATGAACCCTTTCATAGGTCCTAAGATTGCTTCTAATGTAATACATAAGCATGCATTTACTTGTTATGATGAAAAATTGTCAGATGAATATTAATAATGTTTTTTATTATTAACTTTTTAATACTTATTCAACATTTTCTGTACTACAATTTGAAAGTTCTACCCACGATTCCATTGTATTTTTAACTGATACATGCCTGATGCAAACATAACTGTTGTAACTATGGAAGATATCCATGATGTTTCAGCTTTACCCGTTTGGAACTTTCTCAAAACTATAACGTAAACAATCCCCGACGTATACGTAATGCCATATACAATCGCACGTACGGTCAAAGCTGCAAAAACGACAACCCATCTGTAGCTAATACAACTCGGCATTATCCCCCGAGATTACTGATCACTGAATTCTAAGGATATCACCTTCATTAAGAATATTTGTAAGCTTGAAGACAATAAGAAAACGAATTATTTGCGCTCATCACGTTTTCTTATTATATTTTTTTTCAAATTACTTTTAATGGCAAAGGCAAAGTGCGGAAATGTTAAAGGTTTAAACGGAAGCTGCAATCCGAGAACACAAGCTATTTTGTTTGTAGCACGTTCCCTTTTTTTTGTTCATTGTATTTTTAATGTCCTGAGTAATATATAGCTAGTAAGTGGCCGAATGGAATATATTTGTGAAATAGTACTTTCAGTTTATTGATTTTAAACAATAAATTAAAATTAAAATCTTCGAAAAAGAAAAGAAAATTATGTTTGATGATTTTTAATAATGCTTCAAAGTATGAAACCCCCATTTTATTTAGCTTTAGTTAACTTGGATTATAAACTGATCTTGTTAACCACTTTGTTCGAAGTTTTATTATAAATATATAATATAAATCAGAGGATCGGCATATTTGTAAGAAAATTGTTACCAAATGATGTTGACAACACAACATGGCAAAACATACCAGGTATGCTTAAAGTTTTCCTTCGGTGCAGATTATATCTGCAAAGTAAATGGCGTTTTCCCTACATGTTTTTTAAAAAAAAATTATAAATTGAAACTTTAAATTTAATTTATTTTTTTTAAAAAAAGATAAGATATAATCAAATCATTGAAAACGATTTTGCAAAAACTCTCAATAAATCGTGCGTGACCGTTCAAAAGGAGATGTTTACCCCTCCTAGACAATTCATCTAATTAATCTAGCTTAAAGTTAATGTTTTATATACCAATATTTACATTTGCTGTTGTTTTTCTACTAAGCCAACTGTGAAATTGGTTTGAATACCATTTTGGTATATTTGCGTATACATTCACTGTGTCTTTCTACTAAGCCAACTGTGGTATTGATTTAAAAACCATTTTTAAGCGCTAAGCGCGCATGCGCAAGCGATTACTAGGGTGTCTTCAGATTCCATGATGATTTGCATGATCTTTTTATCAACGACCTCTACCGGCCGTATATATGGCTGCGTTCAGTACCATAGTTGCCAGTAAACTTACGCGTAGTTTAATGCTACATACTCAATCGTTTTAAAAACACAGCTCGTCTACCTCGAAATTGTAAATTCTATTACAAATTATCACTTAGCATAAATATCTATAATACAAATTCTTTACGTGGCTGCAAGGCTAGCAAAATTCTTGTTCTAAATTCGTTTCTGTAAATAAATTCCACCTACCACTAAGATCTTGAACGCGCCCCTAACGCGCCCTCTATGATTAATGATATAATTATGTAAACAAATGGAGTTCTATAATGCCTTTGCATTGGCTCCTATTGTTGACAATAATTATCTCCGTGGTGTAATATATATGGTTCTTTTTAAAGGTGATTATATTTTTAAAATAAATGTTGTATATTATGTTCGATTTCAAAATGACGAGCTCTATTTCGAGGAGAGATACAGTGCTAAGCTTACGAAATACAGCGCCACTGAGCAAGTTATGTAACTGTACCAAGTCGTCTAAAAATATACAACTGGAAATCCCCGACCCTCTGTCGGCTACTTTATTGTAGGAGTTATCATAATAGGTGTTAATTAGTACAGTTGATATTAATTTTCGTATGTACGGAAATTTGGCGGATCTTATCTCTGAACAATATGGTGCATATCAATAAGTACTGGCAAACACCAATTATGTCACAAATCTTATTTCTGCGGTGTAATTCGAAAAAGTTAATACAAGTACCGAAAAAACACTTAATGCGCACGTGTATTGAAAAGTTTCAATGAGTTTCTAAAAATCAAATTGGATCAAATCTGTTAGTAGTACATGTAAGATTCCATTAAAATAAATGTTCAACTAGGTTTGCTATATAGTCTTTATCTGTATTAAAATATTTTGACGCAGAAAATTCCTTTAGACTGAACGCTTGGGTGTTGTGGCTATTTCATTCTTGTCAGCTTGTTTTAAATAGTGAAGAAAAAAAACTAAAGCATTTTAAAGTAATTCCGCCAAAATGAGTCAAAGGAAAATACTCACGAATTTTAATATGATATATTTTTATTTTTAAGTAGAAGAGTATACTAGTAGTTAATTAAACATTTTTATTTTAAAAAGAAATATTGACAAATCAGCTTCAAATATTACACGAGAAAAATGGTCAAACGTTTTTAATTTTCGGTACAAATAAATTATAATTCATGTGCATGTTTTTATTAATTTAATGCAATATCCTCATACCCAAAATTGATATTATAGCAATTTAAGGTCATACGCAACGTAGTTTGAACTTTTTGGGGTTCTTCCCTGGAGTTGAACAGTTCCACTAAATGAGTGACCTGTGTGCAATAGTTTTAATGTCTAGATATGGATTTGTACACCACTTCTAAAACAATTTTTGATGAATTAGAATTTGGAATTAGTTTTTTTTTATAATTTTTGTACTGTTTTATTTGAATTATGCAAAAATTTTCAAAATTCGATATCTTTTCAAAAACCTCTGGTAAGGCATGCTGATTTTTTTGTCTATGAACATGTAATTATATTATAAGTTGAAATTTGGAATATCTTTGGAATCTATCAGTAGGTAAGGTACATGTATGTTGCGTATGTCCATTAATGAAAAAAAGAAGTAAAGTGTTCGGGGATTTTTGTTACATGTTGATATTAAGATACTGCATGATTAGGGATTGGTATCACAATTAATGAGAAATATTGAAAAAAAAGTATTGTTGTGTTATTCAACTGTAGCATATTCAATACAAAATTTAAAAGTTCAATTTCTATTCATTACTTGTATACGCAGTAACTTTTATTGATTGCATGTATATATTACAAGTTGTCATGCTAGGAATTTTTTTTAAACCGTTTATAATATATAAAAATTATAACTTTATTAATATCTATGACTAAATAAAAACAGTTCAAACAAAATTTTAAGGCATTTTGAAATTCCTTTCTTCATAATCCTAATTCTGTTTTATCATTAAGGATGTTTTAAATGGAACAAATAAAAAATAATATCTCATTTCTCGCCGTGCACTTTCAAATACAACAGCCAATAGATCGATTACCTATGCGGCCGATAATAACAAAGGCACACACGGTCGCCGACCGTCAATTTTGAATTTTAGTAAGTACGAATAATATTTTTTAGAGTAGAATGATTTATTGTTCAAAATTTCACTAGAAGGTTTTCAACAACATCTTAGGTATTAAAAATTTGTCCCCCCCCAAAAAAAAAACCGCAGCTTTCCAGCTAATGTAGAGCTATATACATAATCTGCATGAGATGAGTCAGAAAAAAAAATTGTACTGTAACATTGATATTTTAATTTTATCGCAGAAACCTGGACCCACAATGCAACACAAGTAATCTTGTTGTCCGGATAGGTAACTGTGTTACTACCCTATGGTGTGACAAACAAAGAAAAGTTATAAAAGTAGCTCACTTGCGTTAAAAAATTGCACAGAGATAGTAAATTAAATTCTCTTTGTTAATTTTTTTTGCATATTTAAAGACGTTGTTATTGTAATACAACTTACATTCGATGTTATTTAATGTAACAATCAAGTCAATCAAGCGCTGGGTTAATTTCAATTAAACAACTGAGTTCGCCCCCCCCCCCACCCCCTTACAGCTGCACTGTCAAAATATTACATGTACCTATTCCAATGCGATAAGGAATTTAAATTCTGATGAATTTCAAATTAAAACCATGCTTAGCGCTTTCCAGTACTCTCAGTACTTTGATTGTGTATACTCACGCGAGAAATTCAAATATTGAGTATATTTGTGGTGCTTCCAAATATGTAAAATGACAATATAAGGAATGTTTTTAAGTTTGGTGTGAATTATTGATGTGTGAATCACACAAACTTTCACGTACATGTAGCATATTTTCCATGAAGCGCTAGCGCGCTTCATAAAATATGCCTACGTGACAAGTCTGTGACAAAAACATTCCTTAAATGTTATCGACTTCTTCTCCAAAACCACTGAGTCAATTTCAACCAAGTTTGCCACAAAGCATCCTTTGGTGAAGAGAATTTAACTTTGTTCACAGGAAGTATCACGCCCTTTTTCAATGGGATGTACCTGTAATTAAAAATCCTGAAATCCTGATTTTATGGCATCTTCTTAAAATCTTCTCAGGAACCACTGGACAAGAATAGACAATGTAATATGTGAAAGATTCATAACATACTCTACATTCAAGATTGTTCTTATCACAACCCCCGGGGGTAGGACGGGACATACAAGGAAGTCAAATTTTTACGTAGGAAAATTTAGGAAATGTCTTGAAAATCTTATCTCAAGAACATCAAAAACGTGATTAGTCATATCATAAGGGAAGTATCCTCAGGTAGTGTAGTTTAGGTTTGTTCCAATCATGAACCATGGGATAAGACAGAACCACAACAGGGGATCATAGGATTATATGCAAAACATCCTCAAAAATCTCTTGAGAATAGCTTTGTCATTATTAGTCATATTAATATATTAGTATCCTCAGGTAGTTATAGATTCAAATTTGTTCAAAGCATGACTCCCATGGATACATGTAGGACGGGGCCAAAACAGTGGGTCAAAGTTTTATATAAGACTATATAGGTTTATGGTATCGGACCATTTCATTTCAATGCATTGAAGATTTCAGACAATGAAATGACCCGACGACCCTTGTAATGGACTGGCCAAACCAAAGGGTATATAAGGAAAGTCAGGCATTCAGATGCTAGCTGAAGGAATTGTATGATGAATCAAAAATAAAAGAGGATATAGATACGAAAATTAATGAAAGAACTATATGCGGTATATTGCATATGTTTGCCCCCACAGAAGTCAAATTTTGAAAACTTCCTGAAATGTGCTGAATTCAATAAATTGTACGAGAAATATAAGTTAACAGAAAATATTATAGTTCCAGAGCAGTGTATTCACAATTTCTGTTTTTATGACGTCACAAACTAGTCCGATTTTATATCCTTTTTCAGAAAGAGGACAAAATGGACAAAATTTCAACAATTTAAGCTTTAAAATTTATAGAGCGCATGTGTGTTCAGGAACAATATTGACATATTTCATTGATATTATCATTCTACACATTATATCAAAATATTTATCCTGAACACACATGCGCTCGTTGACTTTTATTTAAAATATCGACGAAATATGTACATTTTTCTGCAAAATTCATAAAAAACTGAAATTTACGTCATATTTGTGACGTCATTACGTAAAAATGACGTCATAACTTATGAAATTATTCAGTGCTTTGAAGTAAGCATATACTCCCCTGTTTAAGGATTTAATTAAATATTACTCCATCAAAGTTTGATTTTGGGGGGCAAATGTTGGTTAATACCGCATATAGTTCTTTATTCACGTGATGTCTTTAACTGTTCTCTAGTCAACTTTTCATATCGAAGTAGCAATACACCGCTATCACCTGCTAATGAATTATATGTGTTCCAGTTGATTCGATAACCAAGAGCATGTTCTACTTACAAACAATTACTAAAAGGAAACAAGTTATTGACAAATAAGTTTATAAAACAAAAATTTCAACAATCTCATTTAAAGTCAACATAATGGTGAAACACTGGGACAGTAGGACTCTGAAAAATGTATTCTGTTTCACAGAATAGTAAGAAAAAAAATCAGTATTTCAAAACATTACTGACGTTGAAATTAAACCTTTGAAAATAAAGAACGTTGAACCGCTATTAACATGAAATAAATAGTGTTAAAATCATTATATTCTGAACGTTAAACTTTTTTTTTTTTTTTTTTTTGCGAGAAGCACTGACTTCTACATTTGAAGGTTTACTTTGCCATTTAAATCTGTGCCATGTACGGAGGTACAGAATTGAAAATAGATAAGAAAACCTTTCTAGTGGTCATAGGTACAGTGTTTGGGGCACTAACATGTAAAGTGCGGTATTTGATGTTATTGTGGTTGTCGGATTCTTCATGGGCAACTTATATGTGCTTTATTTCTGCCCGTTATTTTAGTTTAATTAAATGTTGATCTAAAAAATTTTATTGCAAAAGAGCTTCCGTATATCGTCCAAGTGTAAAAGACAGCTGTCGACTTTAAAAGTCAGCGCTCCTCGCAAAAGTCCTATACCAACATTCTATTCAAAATCAGAGAAAAATATCCACTATTATTGTCAGTTTTTGGGATAAATCTCTTTTTGATGTTTAAAGCTTTGTTTTTAATGTTTGACTGATTGTTTTTTTTTCAACATTCCATGTCCCTTTTTTCCTCCGCCACTGTTGTAATTAGGCTTGTTCTTTCGGACACAATCTTGTCCTGGGTCTGTTGATCTTCCATAGCATCTGTTTGCAGAAACATCGACCCCTCTTCTTCTTTGATTTTATCACAAGTATTCATTGAATGTGTAGTTCCTTTTGATTTAACTTCATCTGAAAATCTATCAATCTCTTGTGCTTGTGGACTTTCAATGTCTATAATGATTATGGTTTTTTCTTCGCGCGGCCTCGTCAGATAGTGTCTTGGATAAACCATAATAATTGCACTAACTGTCATGGAAGCCGATGCTAACAGAAATGGGTAGTGGTAATTCTTCATGCTGTCATACATCCAACCTTAAAAAAAACGGGACGTAAAACAATAAACAATCAATGCGACCTTAAAAGGTATGTTGATTTTAAACTCGCAACGAAAATATCAGTCATCATACTGTATATTTTTCAAAGCTGAGACTTTTGAGAATAAATAATAATTTTTAAAGAAAGAAAACTTATCATTTCATTTTACCGGCTACAGGAGCTCCAAGAATTTGGCCGATGGACATTTGAGCTAACACGACAGCATACGGAAGGGAAAGTTTATTTGGCCCAAACAGTTCTATCAGTATTGCTGGAATTAAGGATCCACCATTGGCAGCATTGCTTGCCCCAAACAAAATACAATAAACTAGTAAGCCGCCATAACCAGTCACCACCAGTAAGAATGAGGTAGCAAAGCCACCGATTAAATAAAAGATAATGTACTGATTTATGGCCTTAAAGATAGGATGGACCTTGTGGAAGTCTGCAATAAGTCCTTGTGATATTTTGGCAATGGTGATAGAGATTCCAATGATTGAATACAAGAACGCAGCATCATTGTCGTTAATATGCAAATGAAACTTTGCGTATGCTGCTAGATGCCCATATATAATAGAAGAACCAAATGAAAAGAGAACATTGTTTATCGAAATGAAGTGGAAAACTAAACTCTTGAGAAACGTCCAGTCATTTGGTTCAGGCACGTGTGAAGATGCGGGTTGACCCTTCTTTTTAATCGAATTTTCATTTTGGTCTGTATTTGGGAGCGGGCGATAGAGAAGTCCAAAAACACATATGTGTAGAGAAAGTCCTCCCATCATCATAAACATGCCCTTCCATCCATATTCATTATTCAGAAATCGAACTATCGGAGGAAAAACAAATGAACCAATCCCACCACCCGCCGATGCCAAACCGACAGCAAGGTTCTGTATCTTCTTTTGATGGAAATAAGTCGGTACAGCAATACTTCCACTCATGTAGGAGATCCCACATCCTGCACCTTGAAAAGTCAAAAATGTAATTAATACCAAAAAAATTAAATTAAATTAAATACTCTACACTGAGTAGATTTTTTTTGGCAAAGAAGCTGATGTAGGTTTTTTTTTCATTTATATTAATTTGTTTGTCCTAGAAAGCTGTATATTGCTAGACAGAAAACTCAAGACGATTATTGAAGCCAGATTTGATTTCGTTGAAGTTCGCTTCTCGAGGACTGTAAGCAAAAATGCAATTTAAGCGTTTTATTTTAAAACATGTCAGAAAACTTTTCAAAGTCTTGAAAAGTCGAGAAAGAAATTGTGTAGCCAGTAGTCATCTATAAATATCTTAAATTTGAGGAACTGCTGCAGGAATATTATTAACTATTAGTATTATCTAATAAAACAACGACACATTGTTTCTTTTCTTTCACGTCTGAAGATTGCTTAGGGTATATGAACCAAAAATCCTAAATACAATGTAATTTACGAAATCTGGAGGAATGAATACAGTAAATGAAACGATATTGTAATGGTGTCATCACGCATCCATTTGCACTGCCCATTAGTAAATTAGAATGAAATACTGCCTTAAATTTTCAATGATTATATATTGTATCAATAATTTAAAAAAATGTTAACGGTTTATGAACTAGATTATGTGTATAATAGTTAAAATTGATTTGATACCTGTGATTACTCCGTAAAACAAACAGAGTAGGACGAGGTTGGTCGATAGAGTACTCAGAAGGAGGCCACCACAGGTCAGAAGTCCCCCACAAAAGGTCACCACTCGCCATCCTAATTGATTGACCAACACTCCCGCTAGTGGCGCTGTAAAGAAAGATTTTGCATAAATTAAGGGTGAAATCAATTGCTTATTCAATCTAAGACAGGCTAAACGAAAAATTAGGGATGTGCGATTTTATCGGTATACCGGTATATCGCTATTTTTTGTTGCGTGATACGTATCGTGATACAGAGTCTTAAATACCGGTATTTAGGTACATTCTATAAAGTCCAGAAATTATTCATTTATTTGTTCAATCTTTCAAATTACAATTACAGAAAGTCTAAAAAATATTGTAAAAGGTGAAAAGAACATCCAAACATGATTAATTTTATGTACATAAAAATTTCAAAAAGTGAAATTTTGTTTTTCTAGCATATTTAAAAAAAAAATAATGACAATTTATTAAAAATCATAGTAAAAATTGATTGTAAAAAATATCACAATATTATCGTGATATTTTGGAGAAAAAAAAATCGTGATATATTGCGATACGAAATTTTTGGCGATACCCATCTCTACGAAAAATACTAGAAATTATTACACGTTATCCAGAATTTCAATTTACAAGGAGGCATAAAACGAAACAAACCGTTATTCCATCAATTAATATAAGTTCGTAAATTGCAGGTTTCTGTATGATGAAATGTAATGCAAAAGATACCACCTGTTTTTTGAATAAGTTGTTCATATGATTATGAATTTTTAAATTAAGTCCCTTTTCAATTTTTAATGTAAAATTGAAGACTTATCGTTTTCTTATCCATTTTCAGTTCTTTTGATTGCAATTTAACTTAGCTCAGAAATTTCCTTCCTCATTTAATAAAAATAGTTGAAAAGAAGCAGTTGAAACAAATAATGCTGCTGCCAAACAAGTATGTTTTTTTTCCAAAGACAATTTATGACTAGTAATCGGACTTATTAGCAAGCAACGTCGTACTGGTTTAAATTCGTTCTTTGTCCCAAATCTTTCTTACTGATATATATTGGAGAAAAAACGTGGAGAAGAAAATTTTTGTAAAAGGAACAAAAAGACTGTAAGTATACACACCTCTTTTTAGCTCTAAAATACTGTTTCCTGAAAATTTTCAAAATCATCTGTACAGCAGAATAACTTATCGGCATGCACTTACTGATAAAAAACGTCATTGCAGTAATTAGTGACGAAATCCATGATGTTTCTGCAGCTCCAGTCTCAAAATTCTCAAGAATGATCACGTAAACTACACCAGAAGTGTAGGAGATTCCATATACTAGGATCCTTATTATAGCAGCTACTAGAACCACGACCCATCCGTAGTACACATTTCCCAAACACATTGTGATTTCACTTGCCACTTCGTGTAGGTATTTACCTTCAACGGGTTCACTAAAGATTTATCCTCATAATCTGAAAATTTAAAAGAAATTTATTATATGTGTAATATTTATTGGATTATATTAACCATTTTTTTATTTGATGTGTCCAAGCTTGACTTCTGTATGTACATATCACTATATACGAGTTGCCATAAGGTGTGGAAAACATCTGCATTTTATTCACTTTAACATGGATAGGGGGTAAATAATTAACATTTGTTAACATTATTTTAAGGAAAATTAAAATTCGCCCTGTTAAAGAAGAGGTTTAGGGTAGTGGTCGTTGGTATGTTTCTATTAATTGTAACTTATCCGAGGATAATACTGAAGTACATGTATTGAAAGACAATTCATGGCAGTGAGGTACATATTAAGACAGGTGATACAAACTTTTATCAAAACATTTGAAAATAACAACTGTAGGTTTTTTCTAGAATTCAACATTTCACTCTGATTTATCTGGACATATATTGATTATTTAAACAGTTCAAGACTTGAAGGGTACAATATATGACCATAAAAGGCAACTTTCGAATGGGACCGCCATGGAACAAAAGCGGTTCAATAGTCCAAAACTCTGTATCACAAGTAACTAATGTATATTCTCATATTCTGCACCAAGTAAAGTGCTTGTTTCTCAGTATGTTTTCTCCATTGTAGATAATTTTCCTTGTAAACTAAATGCTTATTTCTGTAGTAAATCAATCTCAGTGTACATGTGGTTGCCCCAGTATAACACTACAAATATTTAATGAATTGGCATTGTTTTAATAACATGATTTAATCACTTGCAACTTAATTAAATGGTGCAATCTAGTAGTTAATGCATTCATTCATGCATTCAAAATTACCTTTTGTAAGCTGCATCTGAGTTAAGGCCACCTCAGCTTTGAGTGTTCGTGCACCTGTTAAGAAAAACTGATTATCACCACGAAGAAGTTTGTAACTTGTACCCCTTTAATATACTATTAAAGATATGATTTCCAATCAGCTGATGTCACCTTCTCAGATATCTCAGATATAAGAGTTAAAGATGGGAGCCTCTATTTTCTCCTATGATCTTTCATTTTCCCTCCTTTAACTCATCCTTCAACCCAAAATACAATTTACCCTAATCACCTCCTTTTTTAAAAATATCTAGGTGATTTGCATCTTTTTTTTGTCATTCCTTAACATTTCTAAATGCATACGAAGTACAGATAACGATTACCCATAAAAATATTAAATAATATTAACCTTCATAAGATTTAATCAACTGATACTGTGGAATCAATTTGATTAAAACAATACTTTAAATACTTCCATAGTAATGTATTTAAAGAAAGTGATGAATATCCAGTCTCCCTTGTCTGATGGGAATGAAAGTGACAAGAAAGCGAGATATCTTTCAATAGTGAAACAATACGTTAACTTTAACTTACCTTTTGTTGAGTTTACATTATTTGTTAGATGATCTTTCATATCAATTGAACCTACAAGTAAATAAATAAATACATTTTTTCCACGTGCAAAAGCATGTGCCACATAGAAAAAAAGAATAATGATGTAAGCATAAAATACGTTGTCCGTAAGTTCACGTGTTGCACTTATTATATTGCAAAAGGGATTCACTGCTGTACTCGAAATATAATTAAAAAACCCAACAAAATCAGATTAAAAATATGTTAAGTTGAACGGTTTCCAGTTTGTCGGTGTAACTTTCCCCTTGAATCCCAAAGGTTTGAATGTTTATTGACCCTTTCATAAGGGATATTAGGATTAATATGCGTGAAAAGAAGAAAATACTTGCTGTGGCCTTCAACTCAACATTTAGATATATCGACGACGTATTGTCAATTAACAATGGTAATTTCCATTCCTATGTCGATACGATATATCCTGGTGAGCTTGGATAAGAGATACCGCAGAGTCTGTCTCATCTGTTTCATATTTGGACATTTTACTTGAAAAAGACGTTAATGGTAATCTAACAACCAAGCTCTATTATAAACGTGATGACTTTAACTTTTCTATCGTCTACTTCCCTTACTTATGCAGCAATATACCTTCATCACCAGCATACGAAGTTTATATATTTCAGTTGATTCAATACACAAGAGCATGTTCTACGTATGAACAATTTCTAAAAAGAGGTAAATCATTGACAAGTATGTTGATGAAACAAAAATATCAGCAGTCTCGTTTAAAGTCATCATTTCTTAAGTTCTATGGTCGATACAATGACCTTGTCAGCAAATACAATTTATCATTGAGTCAAATGCTGACTGACGTTTTTCATACTAATTGTTAGTCCATTATTTATACACTGAATTGGCGACATATTTTCCGGTTATTTCCCGATCATGACTAAGACCACACGGCGGGTGTGACCGGTCGGCAGGGAATACTCACTCCTCAATGGTACCTAATCCAAACTCTGATGCTTTAGAGGTCCGTGTTTGCTCAGTTCCTATTTTGTATTGTTTTATGGACTTATATATTGAATACTGTTTGTTATCTCCATATCCTTCATTTAATCTGACAAATAAGTTAGGTATTATTAATTTAGTTTATTTTTAGAATTTTTAATTTTCTATGATATATTTTTATTAATTGAGATTGAAAATAAATTCAAACAGATCTTTGGTGAAGAATTATAATAATGAGTGTATCATTCACTTAGTTACTCTTTTTAAAGAAAACGCACAAATAATGCTCTTGGAGAAGGTTGTTTTCTCATGAATGTTTTTCTTTAACCCTTTTACGGCCAGAAATTTTGCAATTTTTCTGCATAATTACCTAAAAAAGTTCAAATAGAATTTTAGACATTTTCTAGTCACTTTTACATAGAGTAACCTATATATATTTTCTGAAAGGTAAGATCCTAAAGTATTTGATTATCCAGAGTAATTTGACGTCACGGTTGCCATGGCAACGATTGAGACCCATAATTGCCAAAATATGTGCTTTTCTCCTTTTATTCTTCCCTGAAATACAAACAAATTTACAAATAATGTTTCCAATCAGAGGATTTGGTGTTACTATTAAAACAAAGCATGCATTCAATTAGTTTTTAGTTTTACTGGTCAATTTTATTTAATAGAAAGAGTTTATACAATTACACAATGTCAATACCTCATCCGTTCGACTTCGGCTTTACAACTGTCTGATTGTCGTAAGCAATTTTTGAATCGCTCTCCCTCCTACAGTTTTTTACTGACTTCAATAAAATTTGATATACATGTAGAGCATACAAAGATGCACATTTTTTTTTATATTTTAGTATTTTTTTTCAAGGAACAGTGTATGTTGCCATGGTTACAAAAATAGCAATTTTGAGAAGGGGGCTTCCTAACAAATCATGGGTAATATATATTTATTTACTTTCAGTAGAGTGTTATCAATGAATAAAATTACCTGCCTAGTTCCAGCGATCTGTATATAAGAATTCACAATACCCTGTTATGTACTCGGACATACAATATCATCAGTATATACCATTAAGTTTTATATGACGGCCATGGGGAGAGTATGACAAAGAACTATGCACACTAACTCTCGATTTCAGCCTTCATTTTACATAAACACCTTCTATTCAATAAAAATGACATTATGCCATTACTTTTTTTTAATTACAAACATGAATTAAAAGTGAATGAATTATAATATTAATACCAGTGTCAAATTTTTAATTGCTCTTAATTTCAACTCTTTGTACAGTAAAACTCGTTTAGTACGGACACGGATATAGCGAATTCACGGATAAAGCGAAGTTTTTCTGGGTCCCCGACTAAATTCCAAACAAATCTTTGTAAAATTTTACGGTTATAACGAACTCTGATATAACAAATTTACGGTTATAGCGAACTGATTCTGAGTCCCGCTGAGGTAAAATATAATGAAATTTACATCTATTATAATGAACTTTCAAGGATCTCAAAATTTGATAAATTGACTTGACTTTATTTTATAATAGAATGTATATAAAAATTCAATTCGAAATAAAACCTTGGTTATCGAGGGTTTTTTTCATAATATTTACTTCCCTAACATATTTGGTAGTAATACTTGAAGGAAAACATGCATATATAGCGAATTCGCTATATATGGTTATGCGAATTCGTTATACGGATACAACGAATTACGGATATAGCGAATTAAATTCACAGGTCCCCAGGACTTTGCTATAACCGAGTTTTACTGTATAAGGGTGAAAGGGGTGGGGTGGGGTTATAAGATATATATCCACTGTAATTAAGTTTAAACATCACCAGATTTAATTAAGATTAGTTTTTAAATTTTCATTTCTCATGGATATGGATATTTTTTTCAGTTTTCACTTTACTTCACTAATGTAATTTTTTTTGTTTTATCTGTACACATACCCCCAGCTGTGTGTCTACGTTTACGACAAACAACGTAGTACCTGGGCTAGTATTAAACGTAGCCAAACAAAAACTTACAGCTGATTTTAATCTGATTGATCAATACAGTTATATGTACCTGGGAGTATGTAATTGCAATCGGTAGCTTATGTATAAAGCAAATTGTAAATTTTTTACATCGGGATTAAAATAAAAAGACTTACAGTATTAATACGAGTTTACATGACTTTGGAACTTTTTACTGGTCTCACTTTTATGCATGTATAAATTTGAATTTAAATTAAGTCCATTCTACTCTTCCCTATGAAGGTTTTACCAAGTACTGCACATGTCTTCCATTACATGGTTTATCATCACCTATGATCCCCTTCCCAAATCAATTATCAATGCAAATGCAAAATGAAAACCAACTAGCTGTGTCATGTAGCATTTACAATACATGTAAATATTCAAACCAGGGCAAGTAACTGTTTGATCCCCTTCTAATCCATTACCCAGAGTAATCCTTTATCTCTATTTACTAAGAGACGTGAAGCAATATGTGTCTGTGTGGAAGGGGGAAGGGGGTTACCGATGAATAATCAAAGTACTGAAAGT